GTGTGGGGGCGAGAATGGCTTGGGACATGACGATCTATGCCAGCAGCGTGAGAATGTGCGCTTAGGTCGCCATGAATACATCAAGAAAGTTCTCGTGAAGGCTTTAACAACGGCTCCCAACTCCAAACTCAACACTGAGCCTGTTGTTAAAGGGACTTCTATGAGAACCGACTTTCGTATTTCTGGTGATGCTTCCTTCAAGGGGGGGATTAGTGAGTATGATTTGACGATTATCTCACCTACTGCCAGCGCCAAGACATCGGCGACGGACCTGGATGGGTTACAGTTTGCGGACAGGTACAGGGCGGAGCTCAGCTTTTATGAGCGAGAAAAGTACAATCGGTACCAAGGTAAGACGGATACACCGTTTGTGCCATTGTTGATCACTGCCGGTGGTTATCTTACGGATACTTCGCGCGATGTCTTCAAGAAGTGGCGTCAGGTAGTTCCGCACTTTGAGATGCTATCTCGAACTATCTCACTCGGGCTTATTCGTGCTAGGGCAGCCTATTTCGAATTCTAGACAACGATTACATCAAGAAATTATTATTTTTAACTTTTTATTTTTAAAGATTTTTGGTAATTGTATCGACAATAATTAAATGCTTGTTCACCTAACCTAACCTTCCGTACAATAGATCACTTACTCTTTCTGATACAGAAGTGTCATACGCCTTGCACATCAGAACCCTTTGTCCAGGATCAAGCCCACGATGCATCAAGTGTGGGGGCGAGAATGGCTTAGGGCATGACGATCTTTGCCAGCAACGTGAGAATGTGCGCTTAGGTCGCCACGAATACATCAAGAAAGTTCTCGTGAAGGCTTTAACAACGGCTCCCAACTCTAAACTCAACACTGAGCCTGTTGTTAAAGGGACTTCTATGAGAACCGACTTTCGTATTTCTGGTGATGCTTCCTTCAAGGGGGGGATTAGTGAGTATGATTTGACGATTATCTCACCTACTGCCAGCGCCAAGACATCGGCGACGGACCTGGATGGGTTACAGTTTGCGGACAGGTACAGGGCGGAGCTCAGCTTTTATGAGCGAGAAAAGTACAATCGGTACCAAGGTAAGACGGATACACCGTTTGTGCCATTGTTGATCACTGCCGGTGGTTATCTTACGGATACTTCGCGCGATGTCTTCAAGAAGTGGCGTCAGGTAGTTCCGCACTTTGAGATGCTATCTCGAACTATCTCACTCGGGCTTATTCGTGCTAGGGCAGCCTATTTCGAATTCTAGACAACGATTACATCAAGAAATTATTATTTTTAACTTTTTATTTTTAAAGATTTTTGGTAATTGTATCGACAATAATTAAATGCTTGTTCACCTAA